AGGTATATAGACCAATGGTACAGGACAGAGACTCCGGAAGCAAAACCTCAATTTCTCAGCCAACTCATCGCCGACAAAGTCTCCACCATCAACCACTGGGGAGAAGAGAACCTATTCAGTAAATGTTGCTGAGAAAACTCACCACATGCAGAAGATTAAAGCAAGACCCCTATCTATCATCATACACAAAAGTCAACTCTAAATGGATCAAAGACCTAAATGTGAAACCTCAAACGATAAGAACCTTAGAAAATGCAGGAGACACCCTTATGGTAATTGGAATTGGCAACCAGTCCTGTTCAAAAACACAAATGCCCATGCCAGAAGAGATATGATAGACAAGTGAGACCTCATGAATCTGACAAGCTTCTGCAAAGTCAAAGAAACCACCAAGAGAGCAGAGACTATCAAGAGTCCACAGACTGGAAAAAAATATTTGTAACTGTATATCTGACAAAGGCCTAACATCTGGGATCTACAAGGAACTCAAATGTGCTGAAAAGAAAAAAAAAAAAAACAGTCCCATTACAAAGTGGGCAAAAGATATGAATAGATACTTCTCAAAAGAAGACACGATCAGCCAACAGATACATGAAAAAATGCTTAGCCTCACTAGTCAACAAAGAAATGCAAATTAAAACCACACTGAGATACCACCTAACTCCAGTCAGGATGGCCATTATCAATAACTCAAAAAACAACAGATGTTGGAGAGGACGTGGAGAAAAGGAAACACTTCTACACTTTTAGTGGAAGTGTAAATTAGTACAACCTCTATGAAAAACAGTGTGGTGATTCCTAGAAGCTCTAAAAATTGACCTTCCATATGATCCCACAACCTCCCTTTTGGGAATATATGCGGAGGAACTCATATCATTCTATGAAAAAGATACCTCCACTCACATGTTTACTGCAGCATCATTCACAATAACAAAAACATGGAAACAACCATGCTGCCCATCAAAAGACGACTGGATAAAAAAATGTGGTACATATACACAATGTAATATTATGCAGCCATAAAGAAGGACAAAATTATTAATTTTGCAGCAACTTGATTATACTTAGAGTCTATAATAGCGAGTGATCTATCACACAAACTAAGAACTGAGTGCCACATGTTCTCACTCATAAGCAAACCTTGAACAATTAGCATAATACTATAAGAAATGGATTGGCAGTAGTGGGAAACTGCCAGGGGAGGGGGGAGCACACCTCATCAACAAGGGTACCTGCATAATGAACATTTGTATACTTAACCCTGAATTGTACCCCATGTCTTTAAAATAAAAAATTAAACATATATATATATATGTTTCAGTATTGTCTACTTCATTCTTCCATCTCCTATCTCAAGCCTTCTATGGAGCTTCAGTTGTAAAAATAGTCCTCTAAAAAGCCAGCCAATTTCACTGATTGGAGGTAGGAGACAGTAAAACCCTCGTGGGGCCATTCATACTAGTCCTTATTTAGAGAACAAGTGATTATGCCACCTTTGCACGGTCAGGATACCGCGGCCGTTTAATAAATATATCACTGGGCAGGCAGTGCCTCTAATATTAGTTATGCTAGAGGTGATGTTTTTGGTAAACAGGCGGGGTTTAAAGTTTTGCCGAGTTCCTTCTACCTCTTTTAATCTTTCCTTTGATGGGTCGCATACCTGTGTTGGGTTAACAATGGGTGTAATAAGTTGTATATTTGTAATTGCTTATATTGGGTTGTTAACTATCAGTGGATTATCCGGTCTGATATAAGCTTATGCGAGGAGAATAATTTCTTGTTACTTATATTAGCAGTATTGCTTCTATTATTTATAGATTGGTCCAATGTAGTTATAGGAGTTGTGTTTAGTTTTTGAGATTAAAGTACTTTTAGTAGGTTGAGCTTGGACGCTTTCTTAATGGGTGGCTGCTTTTAGGCCAACTATGGAAAAGATTTTAATTACTCTCTAAGTAAGGTTGTTTCCTATTTCTAAAGAGCTGTCCCTCTTTAGAGTAACATTTAAATTTACATGGGGATTATCTACTCTGTAGGTAAATTTAAAGTTGAACTTATATTCTATCTTGGACAACCAGCTATCACCAAACTCGGTAGGCTTTTCACCGCTACTTGTAAATCTTCTCACTATTTTGCGACATAGATGAGTATGCTCTTATGGCTGTTCACAAGTAGCTCGTTTGGGTTCGGGGTTTTTGGCTACAGTTCTCTTTGTAAAATTGTTCTAGCTAATTCATTATGCAAAAGGTAAAAGTGAGTGTCTTTGCTTTTTTGTACTTAAAAATAAGGTATCTTTCATCTTTCCCTTGCGGTACTTTGTCTATAGCGCCTATATAAATTTCTATCTCCTATACTTTTAAGGTTGAAGGTAAATGTTTTGGTTTACAAGATTTAGTATAATTTAGTTGGTTCATATTGGGCTAGGATTAGGTTCAAAGTGGTAATTTGTGAAATCTTCCGGGTGTAAGCCGGGTGCTTTGTGATTTAAGCTACACTTTGTCTACTCCAAGCACACTTTCCAGTATGCTTACCTTGTTACGACTTATCTCATCTCATGCGCTGTAATTTGTTTTATGTAGATTGTTGTGGGAGTTGCATTTGAGGAGGGTGACGGGCGATGTGTGCGTGCTTCATGGCCTTTATTTCAACCAAGCTCTCTATTCTTGATTTACTACTAAATCCTCCTTTAATTCTTATTTTCATAAGAATATTCGTAATACTCTAAAGTAGAGAATGTAGCCCATTGCTTTCCACCTCATAGGTTACACCTTGACCTAACGTTTTTATGCTTATACTTGTGCTTACTTTAAAGCCTTTTTAGGGTTTGCTGAAGATGGCGGTATATAGACTGAATTAGCAAGAGGTGGTAAGGTTGATCGGGGTTTATCGGTTCAGTCTTCCAGGCAGGAACCACAGGCTCCCTCAGCTCCAAAGAGCACACATTCCTCTAGATGATCTTTGCTGTTGATCTCATCTGCCTATCTCATAAAGACACATTAAGACTCCACTTCAGTGAATCCAAGAAGGGGAAACAACACTCCCTTTCCCAATCTTGATTAATAAGAGCATCTCGTTGGACTAAAAATTCCCTAAAATACACTTTGGGAAATACTGCGGGAGATTCTTTTGAGAAAGAGGCAGAATTAGGGGAGAATGCTATCAGTTGCCTAGGAAAAAACTCCGCATGGTCTCACAACTAAAAAATAATTATTACTCCACAGATGAAAGAGTTAGTAATACATTTTAGTTAGCTGAGTAATTAATCAATTAGTGGCCTGTTCAAATAATAAGCATTTGAAACATGGACTCCATAGGTATTGGGAAAATTAACCACTGAATTCTCTTAGAATGGGAGACTATTTCGATGTATCAAGGGAAAATAACCTACCTACATAATAATCAATGTCTGCTAGCTCCCTATTGCTTTCCTTTAGTCACATGATCCTAAAGCAAAGTATGGCATCACAGGAATATTCCTGGTCATTTAACAAATGTTTAAGGAACTACATATGGTTTGCTAGATCCAGCTATAGTTTTGGAGAAATGCATTTTTAAAAGTTCTACCCAGCCGGGTTCGGTGGCTCAGCCTGTAATCCCGCACCTTGGGAGGCTGAGGTGAGTGGATTGCCTGAGCCTGCGGGTTTGAGACCTGCCTGGGCAACTTGGCAAGACCTCATCTCTACAATAAATCAAAAATCAGCCGGGCGTGGTAGCATGCGCCTGTAGTTCCAGCTACTTGGAAGGTTGAGGTGGAAGGATCGCCGGAGCCCAGCAGGTTGAGGCTGCGGTGGCCAGGAGCAGCTACTGCACTCCAGTCTGGGTGACAGAGTGAGACTCCAACTCAAAAAAAAAAAAAAAAGTTCTACCCAAATTCCTGATTAGAAATCAGTTTACAAACTTTCCAAAAGTAGGAAATATGAAGTCTGACAATTAGGTTTGCGAATCATTTTAGAAAAAGTGCTATATAGCTCATTGCTACTCACCCGATCTGACTCCCCACTGACTTTTTTCTTTACAGGAAGATAAAGGTAATATTGAAAGCAAGATACTTTATGACATTCAAGTATCAAGAGTAATATGATGAAAGCTCTGAAATTCCAAAATTGCTTTGGCAGGTGTACTAGGCACTGGTGTCAGTACATAGCTTCCCAAGGGGAGTACTTTGAAGGTGACCATAGTGATATTCAGCAATAAGGTATGTAGCACTTTCTCTAGGATGAGTTTGAGAACTTAATAGTTGGATCTCATATACCATGGGGAATATAAGGTAAAGATGGATATGTAAGGTAAAGATACCCTGGCTGAGGGCAGTAGGACTGCATTGATAAATAATACTATTTTTTGTTTTTTTGGCTGGATCTTAAAACAGAGATAGCTTGAAGATTTTTATAGGTGACAACTCTGACAGTCACTGTAGCCAAGTTAAGGGGCATTTGAGGCAAAGAGAGCAGTGTGAATGAAGGCAAAATGAAGTTTTTGCTACCTGTATGTCATATTGTTTGAAAGCAAATCAAGATAGTAAACACAGTTATGGTCATATTACACATTATTGTATACCATGCTAAATTTATTCATTAGCTATAGTGGGCAATAACATAGTCATCACTGGCATAGAAATATAAAACTGGCAGCTTTTCATAAAGCAGCTAAGAATGGGGAGGGGAAAGGCCAAAGAGTCAAAACCAAGGAGACAGGACCAAAGAGACAGGAAGGTGAATCTACAGTGTGAGAAAGGTATGACCAAGTCCTATGCCAGAGGGAAGAAAATGGAAACAGGGTCATGAAAACAATAGACACTGAGAAAGAAAGTCCCATAAACAGGACTTCAAGAGCAATGGGATATGTGTAAATAGGAGAGAGAGAAGGCTGACAAAAAAAGACCACAAAAATCTTAAAATGAGATGACCAGTAAATGGTGGACAACCCAAGTAGGCCTGGTTAGGAGAGAAGATGGCATTCAACACAAATATTTCTATTAGTGATAAAGAGATATGCTTTATTACCTGGGGATTCTCTGACGGTGACCACCACTTCTCCTAATCATATCATTCCAGGTAAGTGTCTCATATTCCATGTATGCAGTTGCAGTCCAAGACTTCTGAATGGCATTGATAGCTTTCACAAAGCTATGGTTATACTTGTAGAGCCTATCAGAATATCTGGCAACAAAAGATATAGTCTTTAATGATATAAACAGATTCTATTAAAACAAGCACCCTTACCCTCTGTGTCTAAGTGAAAAGTGGTATAGTCTTTCAGGAAGTCAACTGACAATATGCTTTGATAGCCTGGAATGCTTTCTCCGAAAATAAAGGTTCAAGTTAATTAAGATGTAAGAATATTCAATGAAACTCTGATATTAGTATAGATCGCAAACAACCTAAATAAATGTTCTAAGATAAACGATTGATTAAATAATGATACCTCATTTACTATATAATTTATTTAGAAAAATGTCTAGAAGATGTAGTGACATGAAAGTGGTCACACTATATTAAATGTAAAAGAAGGAAATTAATTACGTTCATCCAGAATTATAGTCAATTAAACAATTTTGGCGAAAAGACTTTTATAAATGTGTTTTTAAAACACCACCATGATTACCTGTGTGGTGGCATGAAATCACTACCTTTCTCTCATTTCTCTCATCCTCTAGTTTCCACAACACACTTTGATAACTTTTATATTAAAAAAAAACAGCAAAAATTGTATACAATGTATATATAGCATACAAGCATTATAACCACATGATGCCAAAATATTATTCCACATGATGTTTGATTTCTATACTTGTCTCTAAAAATTTGATTCTTAAAACAACATTAGCAGTAGCATCTGGGAGCTTGTTAAAAGTGCAGACTTCAAGTACCCAACCCAGACCAACTGAATAAGAATCTGCATTTTTTTTACCAAGATTATCAGGTGATCCACAATAACATTAAAACTTGAGAAGCATTAGTTTACCTCAAGCCAGACACTTGGATACAGATGTAAATAAAGCTAATACGCAAAGAGCATGTTTACACAGCACAAAATGGAGAGTTAATTATTCACTTAATTCAAACAATGTATCACACCTAGGTGCCAGATGCTAGGAATTATAGAGCGCACCATATCATTCATATTAAACAGGATTCTGTAGTTTGAGTGTGACTCACTATCCAAGACTACTGCAAACATTCAATTATGCAAAACAAGATACACCTAACCCAAGCAACTTAGGTACACTGTGAACTCTTTCTCTTATAATTCACGTATATATGGAGAGAATAGTTTGATATGGTCAAAGAACCTGTGAGCACAGAAAATACTGACACACATGGGAGGTTTTAGTTTTTATTGAAGTTCTTTCCCACTTGCTGCAAAGTGTGAAAAACCAGAGGTACTTTTACGAAACAGATTACAAAACTGCCTGTGTCATATTTCTGACTACAATAACACAACAAAAACAAGTTATAGTTGTTTCATTGTTTCTTTAGATACTGGAGTAAATTCTAAATGTGAATATTTTTTAAATTGCTTTCCCTTGGTGAGAGTCAATATTCCACTGAATTAAGTATTTGAGAAGCAGTAGTTCACTCTAATTCCCTCGTTTTATCATAACATCTACAGAGACTCAAGTGCTGATGTGTGCATTACAATAATGACAAGATGTCATCCTAGGTCTTAAACACTATTATTTTCGGTGTTTAAGATCCTAGGAGATTAAAAATAATGATACTTACTATGTGATAACAGATCATTAAAATCTGTAAGAGACCTCAAGAATAATTTAGTCCCAAGCACCCATTTTACAGGTGAGGCAATGTAGGTACTGAGCACTCAGGTTATGTAGCTTCTTCCCTAAATGAGACAGTGTTTGAAATATCAAATAGAGTGCAATAATACATAATATATCCTATAAGGTAGCATGAAAAGTGCACACCGTAGTAGAAAATGTGCATATCAAGAACCAAGCAAACAAAGCTATTTAAAACCTAAACTCAACATGAAGGGCCTGAAGGAGTCTATGGCTTATTTAGAACTTTTGCAGACAATACACTTGCTTTAAGATCAGATGATTTGTCAATGTCCACTTTTAGTGGCTTTCATAACAAAATAAGACGGAAAACGGACTATTTGCTCATCACTTCCTTCCGAACCTAAAAAAGTCTTGCTTGCAATCTCCTCTGTGTGGTTCACTGCTATAGTAGACTTAAGCTAACAAAAACCATTAACCACATTGCAGGCTGAATTGTATACTTCCAAAATTCATATGTTGAAGTTCTAACCCTCTGTGCCTCAGGATGTGACTGACTGTACTTGCAGATAGGGCTTTAAAGACATATTTACGATCAAATGAGGTCTTATGGGTTGCCCCTGATCCAGTACGACTCGTGTCCTTATAAAAGGAGATTAGGACACAGTCAGAAAGGACTGTGTGAGGACACGGCAAGAAAGCAGTCATCTGCAGGCCAAGCAGAGTAACCTTGGGAAAAGCCACACCCGACCGCCTTTATCTTGGACTTCTAGCCTCCAAAACAGTGAGAAAACAATGCTGTTATTTAAGCCACTCGGTCTGTAGTGCTTTGTTCTGACAGCCCTAGCAAACTAATACACTGCATAACTACTGATAACTTTGAATTCAGTTACTTATTGTTTTGTTTTGTTTTTTTGAAAGCAGTATTTATTGAGAGGACAGAAAAGCTCCCAAAGGGGAGGGGACCTGAGGAAATTGCTCCTACTTACTGTTTTTAAAAGTTGTTCAATTAGTATCACCACAGCTGTTGCAATATAAATGAATGTATCTACAAGTATTATGCAATAAGTTATTACATAACAACCAATAAAATGATTTGTTCATTAAAAATGTGCAATTCTGTGGTCCTAATTTTTTTTAAGCCATCATTGGTCCATTACTTTTGAAACACTTAAAAAAAAAATGCTCTCAATTACAATGGTCCACATATTTTTCTAGTCAAGTTGTATAAAATATGGCTTATGTTTCTAAGCTAAATAAACTTTATATAATCAAAATAAAATTCCAATAATTAATATACACACATATTCATATATACTATAAAACCAAATGTTTGTCTCACTTGTGAAAACTCACTTTTCCTGGGAATTCTTGTGGTGTCCCACGTTGACATACTCATTCTCAAAAGCAGTTCCCACCTTCTTTCCAGTGAAACAAGCCCAGTTCCGGCCCAGCACATCATGTACCCACCCGGTCATTGTCTCATTGCAATAACTGGTTACCTTGCTGCCCTCTTCTTTATACTGCAAACAAATAAGGGAAGGAAAGGTCAAGTGAAATCTGTGTTCAACTCTCAGGTCCATTTCCCTGGCTCTCATTCACAGCTAGAATGCTCCTTTGCACCCTTGCCAACCAAAACAAGAACTTCACTCTCAGAGGTTACATTCTGAGAACTGCTCTTAAAAAGGAAGGGAAACCCACTTTTCTAGGATTAGCATTGCTGGCCACCTGGCAAAATGTACATAACAGAACACTCCTAGGAATAAAGGGCAAGGGAAAAAACCAGAGCATCTGTCACACGTGAGGCATTTTAGAAGAGTTACTTCATTTAATCCTCACAATAAACCTACAAGGAGACAGACAACAATAACCCCATTTTACCAAGGACGAAGTAGAGGCTCAGCTTGGAGAGGACAGGGAGCAAGCAAACACGGCTGGTTAAGTTGAAGAAAAAGAATTCTTCTCGGCCTATCAGATTATACTTTTCAACTAAGAAGATCCATATCAAGAAACTACAAGAAGAAACAGTGAAAACTGTCCACAGAACTAAACAAAATCCTTTTTTTCTGTCATCCTCCCAATTTATTTGCATATTCTGGTCATGAGGAGGCTAAAGTAGCCTGATTATTAAATACATTCTCTCCACTTTATTTCACTAACTTGGCCCTTTGTCTTACTTCAATGTTGACACTGAAAAATACTATAAACTGATAGACCCAGGATCTGAACTAAGATGTTTTGTTTCCAAACCCTGATCATTCCCATGTTATGACATCTCAGGGCAGCAGTGAGAGAAGGTGTGTTATGTGAAAAGGTTAATAAATGCATTTTTATTATACTGATCTATATAAAGAAGGAGGGACGCCTAATCCAGATTGAGAGCAGGCTGAAAGGAAAGATGCTGTGCTGAGTTCCTGGAAGGAGAGATGGGGCACAGACAATTTCAGTCTCTGACTTAATTTAATGGCATAGATATCTGAAGAACCTTGGGCAACATTTTTCTAGACCTTAGTTCTATCATCTGTAAAATGAGAAAATTAGAAAAAATACCCACAAAGGTATAAACATTCTTGGATGTCATGACCCAATGCAAGGGTTGGTGAACATTTCCTACAATGACCAGACAGCAAGTGTGTTAAGCTTTGTTGGTCACTAAGGTCTGCTACAACTATTCAGCTCCATCATGGTAGCAAAAAAGAAGTCAAAAGCAAGACATAAATAAGTCATCACAGTGCCAACTATGTTTCAATAAAATTTTTATTTACAAAAAAAGACAGTATGTTGGTTTTGACTCCAAGGACTTGTTTGTGGATTCCTGAGCAAATCTAACAAACATTACTTTACTTGGTGTAGAGGTTGGCAAACTTCATTCATAAGGTCCAGATAGTAAATATTTCAGGCTTGCTAGCTAGAAGGAAGGCCTCTGTCACAATTCAACCTAAAAAATGCATGGGGAATACATAAATGAAAGAGTAGCCATGTTCCAATAAAACTTTACTTACAAAAGTGGGCTTGTCATTTGCCAATCTCTTATTTGGAGGAAATGCGTAGGCTAAACCACACCTAAAGTTCAAATTACCTACTGCATCTGACTGTCTCTGATCATATTTAAAGGTAAAGTTACAAATGTGTGGCCTTAGAATCCAAACGAACCGGACTTGAGTCCTGGGATACAACCCTCACTACTCACATCCACATCTTCCCTGTATCTTTGTCAGTTCATGATATTCTGAAGCACATCTGTCTACCTATGGCTAAGAGTATCTTCACTAGCATGAGTTCAGCTAACTCACCCCTCACGACCCTGCTAAAGCCCCAACTCAGGATGAAGAACACAGATCAAAGACTTAGGACTCTATTGGGGAGCAACATGAAAGGGTGTCTTATATGAAAAGGTTAATACACTTTATTTTTATTACACTAAACTATATAAAACTTCTATTTTTGTAGATCAAAAACTGCCTAATACTAAACTATATAAAACTTCTATTTTTGTAGATCAAAAACTGCCTAATATGGTAAGTTCATATGATGCAACCTAAGCCCTTGAGATTTTTATTGTGTACTTCTCTTTGGCACTGTCTCTTGATCACATCTCTTCTCCTCTGTTGCATGCTAGTAAGACCGACCAGGTAGCACTAGGCCAATATGCCCTCCTACCTCTACTGTTTTATTTTACTTTTTTATTTGTATAAATTTAGGGAGTGGTATTTGTATATATTTAGGTATTTGTATACATTTTTTATTTGTATAAATTTAGGGAGTGGACGTGGTAGCACGCGCCTGTAATTCCGGCTACTTGGAAGGCTGAGGCAGAAGGATTGCCGGACCCCAGTGGGTTGAGGCTGCGGTGGCCGGGAGCGGCCACTGCACTCCAGTCTGGGCGATGGAGTGAAACTCCAACTCAATAAATAAATAAATAAATAAATAAATAAATAAATTTAGGGAGTACAAGTGCAGTTTTGGTACATGGATAAATTGCATAGTGGTAAAGTCTGGGCTTTTAGAGTAATCATCACCCAAATAGTGTACATTGCACCCATTAGTTAATTTCTTATCCCTCTTCTCCCTCCCACTCTTACATGTCTCCAATGTCTATTATTCCACACTCTGTGTCCATGTGCACATGTTATTTAGCTCCTACTTGTGAGAACATGAGCTATTTGACTTTGTTTCTGAGTTAATTCAGGTAAGATAATGGCCTCCAGTTCTACCCATGTTGCTGCAAAAAACATGATTTCATTCTATTTTGTGACTAAATCATATTCCAATGTATGTGTATGTATGAATGCACATGTGTGCATTTACATATATATATACTTATATCTGTGTAAATATATATATATATAAATACCTACATATACATACATATATAAAACATTTTCTTTATCCAGTCATCTGTTGATGAACAGTTAAGCTGATTCCATTACTTTGCTATTGTAGAGTACTGCTAAAAACATATTAGTACATGTATCTTTTGATATAGTGTCTTACTTTCCTTTGGGTACATGCCCGTCCTGAGATTGCTAAATTGAATAGTAGTTCTATTTTTAGTTCTTTGAAAAATCTCCATACTGTTTTTCATAGAGGTTGTACAAATTCACATTCCTGCCAACAGTATAGAACTGTTCCCTTTGCTCCACATTCTCACCATACTTTTTGACTTTTTAATAATAGTCATTCTGACTGGCATAAGATATTTCACTGTAGTTTTGATTTGTTTTCCCGATTAGTGATGTTGAGCATTTTTTTCATATGGCTGCTGGCCATGTGGATATCTTACTTTGAAAAATGTCTGTTCATGCCCTTTGCCCACTTTGTAGTGGGGTTGTTTTTATTTTGTTGAGCTGTTTGGGTTCCTTGTAGAGTCTGGATATTAAAATCCTGGCAGATGCATACTTTGCAAATATTTTCTCCCATTCTGCAGGTTGTCTGTTCTCTCTATTGATTATTTCTTTTACTGTGCAGAAGCTTTTTAGTCTAATTAACTCCCATTTGTCTATTTAATTTTTTTTTACATTTTTTAAGGTCTTCATTGTGAAGTCTTTGCCTATGCCAGTGTCCAGGAAAAAATTTTATAGGCTTTCTTCTAGAATTTTTATAGTTTCAGACCATACATTTAAGTCTGCAATCCAAATTGAGTTAATTTTTTTTGGATGGTAAGAGATAGGGGTCCAGTTTCATCATTCTGCATACGGCTAGCCAATTTTCCCAGTACCATTTATTGCATAGGATAGGATGTCCTTTCCTCAGTGTGTGTTTCTGTCAACTTTGTCAAAAATCAATTGGCTGTAGGTATGTAGGTTTTTTTTGTTGTTTTTTTGAGTTGGAGTCTCACTCTGTCTCCCAGACTGGAGTGCAGTGGCCGCTCCCGGCCACTGCAGACTCGACCTGCTGGGCTCCGG